GTAATCGAGATTCGGCTGTGTCATTTTTGGGATACGATTAGTCCAAGGTTGCAACGATATCGTTGTCATTTCGTTAGCTTTTTCTGCAAGGAGAAATGGACGCATAAATCGATAGTAAACGAAGCGAACGAGTGGCGAGAGAATGGAATGAAGGATATCGTGCGATCGGCTTACCGATAAATTCGAGGCCCGACAATTTCCAAGTGCCTCTCTTGGTAATTATGACGCTGGCTGGGCAAACGTTCCTGTGGAGGACTTTGCAGGTGCCGTGAAGAAATAGCAGGGCCTCCGTGATCTGGTGAAAAGAGGCGGGGTATGAAAGAGAAGAGGTGAAATACGAAAGTGAAGGAAGAGAACTCGATGTGCTCACCTGCAACAGTCCGTATTTGATCTCGATGTCGAGCAATTCGTACTCTTTCGTGTACGTGGCACGATGACCGGCGACCGAGGACGTTTGTTTCGTTGCGTTGCTCGACGATTGGCCACTGTTGTTCGCACGTTGTTCCTGATACGCCAGAACGTTTGCAAGACTGGCGAGAACCGGCTCCGACGCGAATGCCAAACTATCAGCGCACTCCTCGACCTTGTATGCCTGTGAACGGCACGCGAGATGAAAAAAACCAGATGACTTTTCTTTCCTTCGTGAAACAGGGCGAAGTATATCTTACTTGCAGTATCTTCGGATGAGAGAATCGTTCCATTTGTCGCGCCCCGGTGCGTAAAATCTCTGTCACGGTCTCCTTGCGTTTTGGCTTGTGCAGCTTGTCCACTGATCTCTTGTCGAAGAAAAATATCGAGACTTCCTGGCAACAGAGATCGAGAATCAGATCTGAATCGAAACGAATTGAAAGAGGAACGAGAGGGACGAGAAAGCAGAGGAGAAGAACAATGGAATCGCTTGACTTTTGGATGATTCCTTGAGTTACCTTTCGATCGGTTTTCGTGTAGCCGTCGTATATGCGCCAAGCGTTCTCGGGACCCGCGGTGGCCGATTGTTTGCCAACTTCGTACAAATTTTGCAGAGCGTTCGGCAATAGAATGCTCGGTGCCGAGCCACTGCTTTTCGACTTGGCAAACATAATGCGACACTCTCGTTAATCCTCAATGTTCATCGAATTGAACCTCTGTCACTTCTTTCTTCGTTCGATCCCTGCTCCGTCTCGAGCCGAGTTCTCTTAAATCTCGATTATTCCTTTATCCATGGGTGTTGCTTGCTTCTCCCACGAAGCTCAGTAAAAGCTATCAACAGTAAACGTAAATCATCTTAAATCGACGTACTTCTCATTGTCAGCTCTCGTCGACGACAACAACAACAACAACGACGACGACAGTGATTTATTTTAACGTCTGTGTGAGATCGACGTATACAGGGGCAATATTTTCATTAATCTTTTCTTTTTTTTCTTCTTCCCCTCGTCTCGTGAATTCGTTTCACGGCCCCGCTTTCTCTTCTCTTCTCCTTACGCAACATACTCCTTATCGATTTGCCACTTCGTGCCTTCGTAGACAATCCCTCGTATATATCCTACGTGTTGCACGGCGAGAAAGCGACAGAGAAAGCTCGAGGGATAAATCGAATAATCGAATCGAATCGAATCATCGCGTGAAACAAAAAAAAAAGGATATTTCCTTTTGTTCTCTCTCTGATATCTCGCCGTGAGACAAGCAATTCAAATCGATTAATTGCAAATATATCGAGATCGAATAGGCGATCGGCAGAGAACAGGAAAGATAAAGAACACCTTCCGAACTTTGAGTTTCGATTTTTGATTAGCAACAACGACAACAACAACAAAGGACGCCGTACTTCCATCGAACATATTTTCGTGTCGAACTGACATCGATGTGACGATCGATGGAAAGGGAATAGCGCGTTCTCTTTGCAATTGGAATGGAAGGGAACGCGAAACGAATTGAAATTAATCGATCGAGCTGGCTCGGGGCTCGACGAGGAGCAACTTCGTCGAAGCGAGTTGCGGAAAATCGTAGTTCGTCGACAGACACGAGCCAACCAACAATGATGTAGGTGTAGGTGTAGGTGTTTGCAAGCAGGCAGGCACACTCTCGTCGTCGAGATCATGCAGTCACTGGCGATCACGGCCACAATTGAAACTCGATTCATCAAGAGCACAAGTCTCGCGATCGATTCGCGAGTGTAATTCGCGTATTGCTGCCGGGCCGATTGTTCAAAAACACCGACAGCAGCCTCTCGCTTGCGACGAACATCTCGCTTGTCATTAGGCGACACGACGTGACAGAGTCAGTTAATTAGTCTTACGATTAATTCGTTTCGAGAGAAAGAGAGAGGGAGAGGGAGAGAAAAGTCGGAGAAAGTAGGAAAGAAAGAGAAAAGAAAGAAAGCAGAGACGACGAGAAAAGTAGGCGAGAAAAGGGAAAGGTGACGGCGAAGGGGAAAAGGGAAACGAAGAGCCAGAGAAAGGGAGAGGAAAGTGTGAGAAAGAGGGCGGAGGACGAATCGAAGCGGTGAAATTTCGCCGGATGAAAAAACGAGGCAAAAAGAGCACAAGACAGCTGAAAGTTTTGGAATAGCTCACCTGTTGCCGACGACAACGGGAATCGTATACCGCGTATAGAGACACACTATAAGTATGAAGAAACCGAAAGAAGGGTAATGCGCGATGCGCGGTGATTCCGGAGCACGCGCGTGCCGCGCGATCCTCGCGCGAGCAATCCGAAGGGGTACAGTTGGGCACGATTGACGCGCGACTGCATCACCACCGATACGAATTTCCGACACTCTTGTGCGCTCCCGACAGTCCGAACCGATTTCCTTTCCTCTCCCTTGCTATTCCGATCTTCCTACCTCGCCGTTTCTTTCCGTACCTTTGTTATCATCCTGTTCCTACGTTTTCCTTTTTTCACGTTCTTCTTCTCGTCGTCGTTGATCGATGTAAAAATGAAAGTTATTGCTGTCCTCGTTCTTGTCCTTGTCCTTGTCGTCGTTGTCGAGTCAATGTCGAGACTAATAGTAACGATTATGTAACAATTATGTAATGTTATCGTAGCTGATATCGTCGATATCGTCTTTGTCTTCGATCTTTCTCTTTCTCTTCCGTTCTCGACGATGACGTCGTCGACATCGTCGTCGTCGTCGTCGTTGTCGTACGAATTAACGTTGTTGGCATTCGATGGGAGAGGAAGAAAGTCGCAAAGAAATAACAGAAAGACGCATGCGCGCCCTCCGATCCGGGCTACGGCTTTGGCTACGACCTCGGCTCCAGCTTGGTTCCGGCTATGGCCAGGGTGTAGACCTCTGCCTGGATGTTATAAGTCTGGTAGCAGTAGGTAGCTGCAGCTGTGCTTGCGGGTCACGGGATACTGGAGACCGGGTTAGGGGATGCCTTGTTTCGAAGGTAGGGAGGACCAGCCAGGCGGTAGGGGTTGCTCCGCACCGTAATTTGCGAATTATGGATTGTCGCTTACCATTACAAATTACGATTTACAAATGTAATATCGCAGAGGGGGCAGAGGGCTCGCCAGAGGAAATTGAAAATATCCCTTTCTCTGTGTGTTCATCACGTGAATTACATCATGTGCGTTATATGCACGTACATGAACAATTTTCCCTCAAACATTTACATACGAATGCACATACATATGTAGGTATATCCTACCGTCTACAGATCTATCTACAGATTTCTTTTTTATCGATCAAACCGTTGCAAAGCCAATGTCGCATCTGCCAGTGTTTGGATTTCCGCTAACGAAGTTTAATAATTACTTCTTCTTTTCATCCATGCAAATTAAAAAAATACACGTATACGTATTTGACTGAAATTATCGCTTTTACCAACTGAGCTTGAAGCTACTCGACCGATACAATAGGCACGCGCGTGATCAAGCATTAACTATGCATGCACATATCAAATTAAATCTTGCAAAATATATATAATTTATATTCATTTATAATTTATATAATAATAATTAAGTAATAAATGTAATAAGTTCTGAATTCGATCCTTTTCATTTTTGAATATCATTTTGATACATGTATATATATATACACACATACTTGTAATTTAATTGTATATCTCATCGTACACATTCTGATTATCTGACAGTTTCACTTTCTCAAAAAGACATTAATTCGGAAACGATCGATCTTTGAGCAATTTGTTTATCGCTTCTGTCTATTTTTATCAAAAAGATTAAAAAGTTTAAAAATAACGCTATATATACATATATATCCAATGTAAAGTTTTCGCAAATGGACTTGAAACTGTTCCAAATTACAACTAATTTCAACTAGTTTCGTAATTTCAACATTAATTTAACAACAACAAAAATTCAAATGCGTTCTGAGCGCACCTAGCCCCCTCTTTCAGTCTCGTCCCTTTTCAATATCTCGTTTGTTCGCTCGCTCGATGAATTCGCTCCGCATATATACACCAGCAGGCACGCACACATATATTTATACGTGCGCATCGTTCGAAAATCACGATTCCAATCTACGTATTCTTTTTTTCTTCTTTTCTTCCATCTTTTTTTCTTCTTCTTCTTTCTCTTTGTCCGAACGACAACTTTTGCAATGTGTTGCAACTGCTGAAAAGCAAGATATCTCGCGAGATCCGTTCTCTCCTCACCCCTCCGTTGCTCCAAAGTTCTCACGCGCTCTCTTCATTCCTGTCATCGTCTGTTTCAACTGTCATAGTCACAGCACTAACGCCATCAACCCTTGGACGTTTTCCTTGTTTGCTTTTAGACGGTAAATAAGATTCGTTTGCTCGCTGCATGGGAGGCATTAATTCGCGGAATATGGATATCGAACACGATCCAGGACTCGCTGCTGTCTTGCAGTATTTAATACGCAGGTTGGTTCAATGTTATCTCATGGGCGAAACGTTTAATATCATTCGTGGATCTTTCCTACGAACGTGTGTATATGCCCGTTGATAGAAGGAGACCGAAAAGCCAGAAAGATTCTGCGAAAAGAGAAAACGAAAGAATGACAGAAAGACAGAGAGAGAAAGAGAGAGAGCGAATGAATGAACGAGAACGGGAAAAATTCTAACCTCTTCTCGCAATTTGTTGTTATTGCATATCTCGCCAGATACGCGATAACTCGCCTTTTCCCAGAGGCCACACGTTCGCTTTTTTTCGAGGAATTCGGCCACCCTCTTTTCGCCCAAATCCGTTTCTGTTTTCTCGAAACAATCGGTGATTTGGTCTCTTTCGATAAACCTAACCTTCTCTCTTATCGTTCCGCCAGTTTTTCGTTCGTAGCTCGACTCTCAACGTCCAAAAGTAGCATCGCAGCGACGAGATTGTATTGACGAATTTCCATTTTGCATTGTTACAGCGGTCAATTACATATCATATCTTCGGATCACGATGACTCGGACGAGGAATACGCCACGAATTCACAACCTCCAAGAATTACGTCCTTACCAAATACATCCAGACTAGATGTTTGTTACTAATATTGAATACGCTCTGTAATGGCAATAGCGGCCGTTACTTTTAGTTATTGTATCGTATCCCATGCTCTTCTCGTTGATTCGTTTCTCTTTTTCTCTTGTTTTTAGAAAAGTGAGATAAGTCTTGCCACCAAGCAAGCATGTGGATTCGCAGACAACGTCGATAAGCGCAATCTCTCTGTCACGTCGATGATACAAAGAAGAGCTCTAGGTCCTAGTTTCAGTACTGGTGAAAGATGCAGAATAAGTAGCAATTTCTTACCAAATAAGATGCATCAGGTTGATAAGTATAATACCAAAGCGTTTTGCGGTTCTTATTCCACAGATGGAAGATTTTTCTTAACTGCCAGTCAAGGCAAGTTGCTTCCATTGAAATTCCGTTTCTATTCAGAACAAAATTTGCTTTTCGGTTAGCGTTTCCATTTTTCCCCATCATCTATCCAACGTTGTATGTTTTGACAGACAAGTTTTTACGTCTTTACCGAACACACAATGGAGACTTTGTACAGTTCAAAACTATTCCTGCACGAGATGTAGGATGGAGCATTCTGGACACAGCGTTTAGTCCCGATGGCAATTACATTGTTTATTCCAGCTGGTCAGAATGTCGTAAGTATAGCATGCTAGACAGTGAGCGAAGA